TTAAATTCAAGCCGGAAGTTTTAATGGATCCATGTAAACGATATCTGCTATTCATAATATATTAATACTAAGATATCAAACGGGAATACTCGATAGAATTACAGAAAATTTGTACACGTTGCAATACAGGAAAAATTATGGACAGTTAAGTCAGAAATGAAGATATAAGAACCACTGCTTATTCAATGAAAGATTATGAGGGCATTTAGAACACAAGTATCGATAGAAGTAAATGAATTGATATAACGCCATAATCATAACATAATGCAGACTTCACTAATGTACTAGTAAGCTATAAATTACACCTCAGACAACACAACAAAAATGACGTAGAAATTTGCAACCCTGGTTTGACTACATGTATATGTTTTTACGTCGAAGAATTGCACTATCGTAGTTGCATTTATACGAAATTGTGTGAAGTATGTGAAAAAACTTTACTTGCATCAGAAACCTGTGTCAAAGAATAATAAAGCACAAGACATGTTGTGTGTCACCTTTAAAACGAATGGTCCTCCCTGAACATTGACCTTTTTGAAAATAAATGCGTATATTTAACGTGTTTAAGTAAATCTTATCAAGTTAGGTGTTTGCATGGGATTTTGTCGCTCTTGGAAAAGTAATGCTCATGCCTCATAAGAGGGGGTCTGGGAGCGGTTTACAGAATAGAGAATGATGGGGAACATAAATAGAGAATAGAGAAAAATGACCCCCTCCCAAAAAAAAAAAAACAAAAAAAAACAACACAGAACTGAAGTACCCCAAATCCATACTCTCATTTGTTGGGATTTTAACATTCATTTTGCAATTGATCACATCGTCATTCTCTAGTTTATTTTTTGACAACCATAACTTGAAAGATATTAATTTTCTGTGATTACTCAACATGGACACACTTAACCGTCTTCTGCTCATGTATCTTATCTATCTGAGTTTGTTATTATATTTTCAGCATAACAATAGAGATTTAAAAGTTATTATATACAACCAAAACTTGTAACTAAATAAAAATACAAATGTAGTGAGCAATATCTGATGTTTAACATGAAATAGATAAATTTACAGTAAAAATAGAAAATAGATAAAAAGACACAATCACTTGAAAAGTTTACAGTTATTCGATACATATATACATTTTTACATCAAAATAAAAGATAATTTTATTTGTATTTTGAATGAATGATCAAGGTTTTATCATTGATGCTCAGTAGTACTTATCAATTCACCATGATAAATAAATCAGTAAACCAAATGAGTTTAAATGTGTTTTTAGATTTACAAATAAGACAGACAAACATTTCAATGTATTTCTATGTCGTTTTGAATGTATTCTAGGACTTGTTCAATGCATTTTTCATATTTGTTTACCTATATTAGTTGTTTATGGTATTTCTGTCGTTGGGACACTGTCTCATTGACGTAATCTTTAATACATACTGGTAGTTAAAGCTTTCTAGTACACAGTGTCAAAAACTACTGATATGACATGCATTTCATTAGTACACACTTATAACATCCGGGAAAAAATACGAGTCTCTTAATGTACAAGCAGCGTAATTGGTTAGAAAAAAAATATAATGCATACATGTCACTTTACATTCCTACATTATTTCTTCATACATCCTACATGTATGTAGTTTAGACTATCCTATTGTATAATTGTTTTCTGAATAAGCCATGGAGTACATTTGCCGATGCATTTCACTTCAGGAAGAAATATGTAATAAAGGCATTATACTTTCTATAATAAATTGTTGTCTCGTCTCATACTATCTGAATAATGACGTACATCTTTTCATACATGTAATTTTATCGTACTTCTAGTACTGCCATCTATGGGAGATAAGTGTAATGAAGACAATCCTTTTCTATATAAATTGTTTTCTTAGACCCTTAGACTATCTGAACAATATACAGTATAATTTTCATATTTCGATACGTGTCACTTAATCGTACTTTCATTTCTGGGAGATGGATGTTATAAAGACAATCCTCGTCTATATAAATTGTTTTCTCAGACTTTCTGAACAATATGCAGTTCATCTTTCCATACCTGATACATGCAATTTGATCGTCCTTCCATTTCTGGAAGAACGATGCAACAAAGGCAAACCTTCGTTTTAGACTATTATCGCAGACTGTCTGAACAATGCAGTAGATCTTTTCATACATTCCACTTTATCTTCCTTCCATCCCTGAGAGATAGATGTATTAAAGACAATCCTTTTCTTTAAATTGTTTTCTCAGACTATCTGAACAATATGTAGTACATCTTTTGATACATGTCACTTTATCGAACTTCCATTTCTAGGAGATAAATGTAATACAGACATGTTTGCAAATTAATAGGCTCCGTTATAAATCATAAACGTATGTATTTGCATGGGCTTTTGTGGCTCTCGGAAAAGTAATAATGATGCCTAATAAGTAAGGAATTAAAACATTGATTTTGTAAATGATCAATCACTTTTTCCTTCTTTTTTTTTTAAATCATAACTTGAATATGTAAGTTGTCTCTGATGACTTGACACGAACACTGTCTGCTGCTTATGTATATTATCAGAGTTAGTTATTATGCAAATTTCCAACATAAATATAGAGATTTGAATTTTGAAATGTTTTATGTACAACTAAACAATATTACAATATAAAGTTTAAAATGCAATGTGCAAGAGCAACTGTTTTAGATGACAATGATAAACTTATGATGTCATCAGTGAAATAGAAAACAGATAAAAAGAAGTTTGATGTTATTTGGAACATATATATATATATATATTATTCACATTTAATTAACCGATCATTGTATTCATATTTTGAAATAAGTATGAAGATTTTATTGTTTATGCTGATAACTACTTATCAATTCAACATACTACAACCAATTGTGGTTAGATATTCAAAGTTACCATAGATACGAGACAGACAGACAGACATTGCAATGCACTTTTCTGCTTTTTTCAATATGTTCTAGGTCTTGTTCAATGCATTTTTTTGTATACCTTATTTAGTTGTATTATGGTATTTCGGTCGTTGAATACTGTCTTATTAACTTATACTTAATCCATATTTATAGTTACAGCTTTCTTTTAAACAGTGCCTAAGACTACTAAAACTACCAATGTTACATGCACTTTATCAGTACACGCTTATAAGAAACGCAAACAAATATTAGCAGCGTGATTTATGAGAGAATAAATATACAATTCATACATGTCACTGATCTTCCTTCTATCTGTGGGAGACTGATGTTATACAGATAATTCTTATCTATAAATAATTTCATAAAACTATCTTTACATTGGAGTGCATCTTTTCATACATGTCATTCTAACGTCCTTCCATCTCTGGGAGCCAGATGTAGTAAAGGCAAGCCGTTGTTATAAACTTGTTTCCAGATTATCTGAAAAATGCAGTATACATCATGTTCATGTTATTTTATCTTCCTTCCATTTCTTGGAGATTGATGTAGTAAAGGCTATCTTTTTCTATAAATTGTTTATAAGATAATCTGAACAATACATCAGGAGTTTGTAAACATTGACCGAAAAGACAACAATTTGAAATAAAATGAAATATTATCATGCTAAAAAGGTAAGACCAGACAAGTCCAACCGACGTATAACCTCTTTCGATACATGTCACTTTATCGTCTTTCAAATATGGGAGATATCTTCACTGTTCTATAAAGACAATCCTTTTCTTTAAAAAAGAGAAGGAATATACCAAAGGGATATTCAAACTCATAAGTCGACGACATACTGGCAATCACTACAAACCAGTTAAAGTCTGAAATGGGCACTTTTTGTACTCAACTGTATTGATTTTTACTCGACTATTCTGAATTTGTCTGAATTTTAATCGATATAACTCGAGTGTAGTATGAACCATACTGAAAAGTCTGAACTCAAACTAGACCAGGCTGAAAAAAAGCAAAAAAAAAAAAAAAAATACCGAGGTCCAAGGAATATTCAAAACGGAAAGTCACTTATAAAATGGCAAAATAAAAAGCTCAAGCACATCAAACGAATGGATAGCAACTGTCATATTCCTGACTCGGTACAGACAATTTCTTATGGTAGAAATTGTATAGTAAATGTGGTTTTACAGCTAGCTAAACCTCTAACTTGTCAACCCATTCTCGACCTGTACTCGACCTGTACTTTACCAGTTCTCAACAATACTCGACGACCATAGGACGTTAAGTTCTAAACCCTACTCGACCAAAGTCTAAACCCTACTCGACCAACGTCTGAACTATACTCGACCAAAGTCTGAACCATAGCCGACCAAAGTCTGAACCTTACCCAATTAATAAACCTCTAATCAATTTTGAATGTATAAGTATAATTTATTCAATAATAAACCACTTAATTTCACTTTGACCCACTTCCCTTTTCTTAAAATATGTCTTATATTTAGCTGTTATCAAATCTGACTAATCACTTTCTTATATAGTTACTCTTGGTCAAATTTCTAGCCAAAGGAACAAATCTTGTAAAAAATAGACTATAATAAGAATAGGTCGAGGATTGTTCAGACTTGGTCAAGTCTGGTTTAGACTTGGATGAGTATGATTCAGACTTGGGTCTAGTATAATTCAGACTCTTTCATGTCTTTGAAATGGCAAAGAACTGGTCGAATACAGGTCGAGTACCAGTCCAGACTGTTTAGTTATGACATAAACTGTACCAATTTTTCTGCACTAGAATAGAGCCGAGTAATATCGAGTAAAATTCAGACCAATTCGGAATGGTCAAGTACAAATCAACACAGTCGAGTACAAATACTGCCCATTTCAGACGATTACTTGTTTGTAATGAATGCCACGGCAAAAAGCAAAAATAGAATGAAAAGACAAACAACAGTACACAAAACACAACACAACAAGGGTAGGCAGATCCTGCTTCACACGTGGTTCCAGTCTATAAACTGTCTCAAATTATCTAAACATTGCGTCTTCCGATGTTGAATCACATATCGAAATATTTTTTTTTCAGATTGAATGGGAAATATCCAAATGGATCCGTTGTGTGGAACTGCTGCTTACAGTTTCCTTAAACATTGCTGTAATAATCTTATTAAGCCGTATAAGGAAACGTTCAAATTTAGTCTTCTTCGTCATCAATTTAGCATTTTCAGGTAAGATTGAAAAAAGGAATTAATTATTTCTACATAATTTTTGTTTATCGTGTAAAAGCAATACAGATTTTAAAGGAAAGGGTTGAGTGCGGGACAAAATATTTTTTAAACTTCCTCTACATGTGTACAAATCGTTTCAAAATCTTTAAGAGACAGATTCCACCACAGAATATCGTGAAATACAGTATTACTCCACTCTAGACAGGTACATTTTTAATATTTTAATACCGCGGCAAGCCCAGCGTTTTAAAATTAAAACTTGAACTTTCTCGAGTGCAGAAATGTACCATCGCAATTGTTTCAGTGGTATAATCTATGGTTATTCAATTACATTTAATGACATATTTGTGTAAATCAATTTATTGTGCTAGCCAATCTCATTAATCAATCACATTTGTTTTCTTATCAGCAATTGACCATCCGGATAATAGTTTTGACACCCAATTTGAGGTCAATACTGTCTATTGCTCAGCGATTGAATAAGTATATCAAATGTTGATAACTGTCAATTTTATATCTTAATTAACTGTTTTTTCATGGACATTTGCATTCTATCAGAAAACACAATAGGACATTCATTATGATTACACATAATATGCAATTAACTTATCAAAGAAGTCATTTAACGTCCTATCGTTTTGTAATAGTATGTGGTTTATTTTTTTCTCTATCAATCTTTTATGAATTCTTTCTTATAATTGGAACTATGATTTCTTCGGAATCTCTTTGTTTCCTTACTTCTGTTACAGCACAGGATCCCTAGTGTTTTTCATTATTTTGAATTGTGTTTGATATAAGGGTATAATAGATATTTTGCTAAAAAGAAAGTTATTTTCGGAATCTCTCTGTTTTCTTATTTCTATTACAGCGCAGGATCCCTCGTATTTTGCATAATTATGAATTGTGTTTAATGTATGATACATATTGTGTTAAAAAGACAGCAAATACTTGCATTGGTGACAATAGTAGCATTTTTGGGGTTCTGCATTTTCAAACTAAATAGTCATCAGTTGAAAAATATCGAATTTTAATTTTCACTTCCATTGGGGTGCGAATTATTTGACAATATACGTACTGTGCTGCAGCATTATTTTTGCAAAAATGTCCTTTTTAGGGTACTCCGGACTTTTGCTTGTATTTGATTGAATACGCCTACTTAACACAGAGTTTTGCCACTTTCATCAAAATATCTCACCATGTTTACACCATAGACACATGTATACATTTACACTGATTAACTAACATTCACTGTTTCAATATCCTTTTCTTGTCAATAGGGGAGCAGAAGAGAAAACAAATTACTCCTAGCTTTGGATGTGGAAACTTTGTGGCGCCAGTCATCCTTGTTTACTCTTATTAAATTATGTCGTTCAAACAACTTCTGCCTCTTTGACAATTCTCATTAGGAGTTTCTTTCCGGTAGAGCGATAGGCCGTAGGACAAAAAGTTGTTCGGGCTGTTAAGTTTTGTTTTAAATATCCGCATCTTTTTACAACTATTCTGACCAAATAAATGATATGATAGAAATGTTTTTTTCAAAAATATGAATTTAAAATGATTAAAACCCCCTTCTCAATCGAATCTTTGTCCTAAATAAATTTGAACTTATCTACTCTTTCTGCCGGTAGCTAGCATTGTTTTACATACATGTATGTGTATGTCTGAATGATTTGTGATGTTGTATAATTCATGTGTCAAACCGATTTTATGTGTTTTAAAAATTGCAACTGGAAATAAGTCGTTTCGATTATATTCCTTTCTCTGGATACATATGTCATGTACAGATACACATAAGTTTTCTCAAATAAGGCTCTTATATCAGTTGCACTGTTTAAGGGGATTTCGCGTGTCTTTTTTTTTCTTCAGCTTAAACAGGTTGTGATTGGCTAAAAAATGTAAATCCAGACATAGATCTTCTCAAAAATCCAACTTTATATGAAATGAAAAAAAAAAAAAAAAAATAATAAAAAAAAAAATCCTAAAACCTCACTCTTTCAAATAAAGAAAATGAACCGGTACCAAATTAAAATAACATTTGACAATTAATCAAAACAGTAACAGTTGTTTGAGGACATTCATATATTGTATTCATATACATTCGAACACACTAGCATCCCTCAAACAAAATATTACGTCAGGTTCTAATTCATGAAATAGGAATAGACACATTTACATTTGTTGTTCAATATTGTCAATTGTCTATCAAATTAATTATTAGAAAATCTGGTCTGGAATTAAATAAAACAATGAAAAACCATTTATATACACTATTATTACACTAGGGATCTAATTCGAAAAGTAATCGATTCTTTAATCAAAAGCTGATGTGCAATCTCAAGTTTTATCAAATACTAGACACTGTTATTCGAATATCCTTCGATATCATCGTTAAGATGGGATAAATGGTGGTTAATGAAAGCACGAACGTAATACGGCCAGGGTTCAGTATACTTTACAACAATGTTACCCCTTAAAACTTAATTCAATTGCATTTTTGCATTTTGCCAATTAACTGACTGTCTAAGACGTTTGATGTAGTCATTAATTGAATTCCAGCCTATTTATTTTATACCATCACTTAATGGATGACACCATATGCAATTTTTCGATAGCTGGTTTATTTTTTATTTTTAATTGGAAAGGTGCGGGGCATTGCTCTGTTTATAAAAGAGGAATGTAAAGAAAATGTACGAAATCATTTAGTTTTCTTTATTCGTTTCCAGTAAGTTAATTAAGGTTATGAGTATCGGCACCTGATTTCTAATTCTAAATCTGATGAATTCTGGGTAACATTTTTAAAAGCTTAGACAAAAAGTTGTGATTGGCTAGAAAGTGGAAATTAAACCAATGAAGTGACGTTATTTTCACTTTGGGGATTACCCATAGTCCTTTAGATTCTGGAAAGGCGAATAGGTTTACCGTCACAATGTTGTTTTTTATCAATTTAAGGTGGTACCTAACACTACAGGGAGATAACTCTGTAAAAATCAGCTTAACGTTTTAATTACGTTGTATTGTTAAGGAAATATTAAGCTTCTCAATGATCAAAATTAGTGTTTGTCAAACTGCTATATAACCAAAGAAATTTTTCTGATAAAGTGGTTGGTTCAAATTTTTTGAAATTTTTATATTTTTGTCAAAGGGTCAAAGTAAACATTTTGTCAAAATTTTATGAAAATTAAACGAGCCAAATTAATGTTAGTCAAGGTGTTGGGTACCACCTCAAGCCAACGAAACGTTAATACCAGACATACTATTTATCATCTCCATGGAAACGCCATATCAATCAATTTAACATACCAGTAAAACAATGACAGAATTGTCAAGCAGACAGTTTGATGAACGCTGATGGTATTTTTGAATAGGTATTTATTATTCACATACATGGGTTAAGTTATAAATGGTAGAATGAAAGTGAAAATTGGTACTTTGAGTTGTCTACCAATTCTTCACAAGTCATTAGCATCATTAAAGCCAGAAAGTTGTTTAATAGAGGGTTGAACAAACGTTACTTTGAATTGCAAAATTTAAACGGAAGTATTTGTTCATTTGAAACTTGGAAAGTGAAATTGATCGTAATAATTAAACTTGCATGTCGTATAATTTTGCTTGTAACATTTTTCTGCAACTTAAGACAAGTCTGTCAATTTTTCACGTAATACCGTCGGAAACTGACAATAACGAGATCCCTTATTATTTATTTCTGTATATGAACAAATGAAAATGTGAACGGATGTCAGTTAGAAAGCAACGCAACGATAAAATAATCAAAATATATTAGATATCCATATAAAGTCTTTACCAAGAGACAGGTGTCTATCCACTGTATTTAGCTCTACATCATCCCGAGTCTAAAACAGTTGTTACTATTTGTCTTTGATAGTATGTTGTAAAAACCGAAACAAAATTCTTGATAAATTATGGAGATGTGGTACTATTACCATAGAGACAACTATCCATACACATCAAATACAAATTGTTCATAACTTAAAAGTTAAAATTCTTAATTTCTGCAGTCGACAGTGATTTTTTTTTAAATAATCAATAGTGAGAAAAAAAAAACTTATGTTAGAGAAATTTGTTAATAATTGCAAATGTTTATTGGTCTAAAATATCATTCCACCTGTTGCTTATGTATGTACCAATTACAATTCAAAATAATTTGTCGTTGAGGATAATCGATTTCTATGCGTTTCTGATTTCATAAATTTACAGCTGATAAACAAATGTGTGTTTACATCAACAAATGCAACAGCTCTCCCACTTAAGTTGATCTTATCGGCTTCATTGTGACAAAAAGGATAATATAGTGTACGTCAATGAATGGCCCCGAGTCTAAAATAGATGTGAATTAATTTGACAGAGATTATCAAAGATATGCATCCAGATTTGTTTAACCCCGAAGGACAAATTATACACAATATTGTATACTAATGACGGGCTGCATGACTGGTAGACCCACAGGGTTTAACAAGTTATTATGCATCAAACTCCCACACGTAAAGACTCGAACAACAGCACATGCACAAAGAAAGTACAGTACAAATTAATTCACAAAGCACCGAACTAGTTTTATAAGTATATTAGATAAGATAACAAATACAAGTATAACAAATAAATGAAACGATAGCAATTGATGCTCGTAATAGCTCTCTCAAGCAAAGTTAGTTTTGCTTAGATTGTGAGGTTTTGTTTGACTCTTAAGTTTTATTGTTTTTTGTTTTCCATATTTGGTCACAAACGTACTTGTTTAAAAGTACCCCAGAAACACGTGTTATTCGCTCGGACATCATATACGAGCGTTTTCAGAAAAGTAATTTATTGTCTGATAAGATCTTCCGTCTAGATAATTTTTGGTTATTTTAGAGGTTTTCATAGATTTTTTGCCTTTCGCACTCTGGAATTCAGAAGGTTTTTTTATATCAAGCCTGCAAAACTGTTTAAATATGATACTAAATGAGAAGATCGGGCTAAAATTACTTTCCCAACTTCAGATTAAATCAATCAGGGAAAATCTGTTTTTGAAGCTAGCACGCACTATGTAGCATGCTATCCTAACTTTTCGTGGTGTAGAGAATCCTTTTCAGAAGTTGTCCTTCATTTTATCCGATTTTCAAATTTTGTCAATTATTCCGTTCCATGATCTGTAAAGATATAAATAAAACCCAATAGCATATTTAAAACATAACGCAAAAGTATATATGCACAACGTCCTTTGATAAAGATAGAAGTGGTTTTTAATGAAAATAAAATAACGAAAACTGGCACTTTTGAGTCGATGACGAACAGCCTGAAGTAATTAAACTGGACGAAAACTAGTGCACTTATTTCTGTCACCAATGAAATTTACTGTTTGTACTTTTTCATAGTTCTATTTTTAGGTTAAATGATGTGGTTTGGAAAATCATGAATTTTATCTGTTCTTTAGGTTTTTTGTCCATTTTTCTCTTCTCTTTATATTTTTGTATTTTTGCCCATTATTCTCTATTCTGCAAACTCCAATCTATACCCTCAAACATGTTTAAGGCGAAATTATACGACATGCAAGTTTGATTATTACAATGAATGTCACGTTCCAAGTTATTATTTAAAATCGGTGTCTTTGTCTTTTTGTAATTTAATTTTGTGATTAATGTTGATCAAATTATTCAAGTCCTATCAAACTGATTTTCAGTCAGTTCATATTTAGTACTGTTACACCACAATCCCAGTTAGGAGAGGATTCATCGTGTGCATATAAACATAATTTAACCCGCCACAGTCTGTATGTGTCTGTCAAAAACCAGGAGCCTCCAGTGATCGCCGTTACTTTCCGTTTGTCATCCTTGTTTTTGTCATTAGCATACATCATCCGTTTGTTTTTACCTGTTTGATTTGTTTGCATTTTGTTATACGGTATCGAATTTGCTCAATTGCAACATTTCCACATCAAAATCAGGTCTACATACTGTCAGATTGTGTCACGAAGATGTTATGTCAGTTAGTATGAATAAGAGGCAACAATAAGTTAACGATGTTCAAAACTCGAGAATTTATTCATGATTTACAGTTGCAGATGATTAAAACTTTAGCGAATCGCATTAGCTTCAAACGGAGCGAGACATCCTCAACATCATATCTGATCCTTGTTCACATATACTGCAATTCCCGCTTATGTCAGAAGAACACACATAGATACATATTGTTTTCCATGAATCAGTCATACGTTTCTTTCTATTTCAGATTTATCTGTGGGTATTCTTCACATTCTTCCATTAACAGTCAATCATTTTACATCAACATGGGCGCTTGGATCCGCCATATGTAAATTACAGTTTTTTCTTAGTAATGTTTCATTGTATGCCTCAACATACCTGATAGTGATCATTGGAATCGACAGATTTCACAGTGTGTTCAAACCTCTTAGTACTGTGCGCCAAATGAGACATTATCGTCTGCTTATGGTATTATCACCTTGGACACTAGGGACGCTTATTAGTATACCAGTTCTGTATTGGACAGTATTGTACCCTATATGTAAACGTGTCATATGTACTCCAGATCTTAGGGGAATCAGAAAGGTATGTTTACATAAAAGCATACATACATGTAAATTGTGACATTGTGTTACAAATATTAACTTAATCTGGAATCTTTGATGAGTTTCATTTGTACATGTTATTCAATTCTCTATCAGGAATATATTTATAGAAAGAGTGAGCCCTTTTATATCGTATCAACTTAAAGATATAAACGCCATAAACTAGAGCAGTTGAATTGCTGGAACACCGAAATAGAATGTTTACATCGGGAAACTGAAATGATCTCTTTTCATGAAAACAATCATTGTCAATTTCATGATGAAAGTCAAGATAAGAAGATTTACTGTGTATATATTATACTTTATTTCAATTTCAATGGCTAAGAAGTGATAAACATAATCATCAAACTTCGAATTATTCAGTGAGAGGACAACATGTATGTAGCAATACGTTTGTTTAAATGACCACTTTAGCTTTTTTTCATTTTTCTTGAAAGACTGCCATGTTACGTCTGCCTAACACAAACAAGACACAATACATTTGTCCTCAATACAAAAACATCAGTCATTTTAAATGATGGCTGGTTCATGGAAGCAGAGAATTAACAAAGTATGTTTTTCCCTTTCTTAAATACTATATTTCTTTCAAAGTTGACCATTATCCTTTACACAGAAAAACGATCAGTTGATAGAGAACAGGCAAAATCTTGGTTAAAAAGAGGAAAGGACAACAGCCAGCTACAACATTCTAAAACCGAAGACTGAGCAACAGAAACATCGCAAAAAAACCCAGGGTCTTAACTGAAGTGCTCCAAAAGGGTTTGCTATTGTTTTTCTACTAGTGGCACTCATCGCTTACCCATGCTGAAGTTTTACATGTATAAAATACAATCACAAGGTTATAAAAGGGCGCCACTAGCACAACAGTGTCTGCTTTCCCTTCCAGAGAATCTGAGTTTTTTGTTGAGTTTGTGTTGCTTAGTCTTTAGGTTTTTAAGTAGTGTTTTGTGGACCTGTATTATCGTGGTCTATTATTTTTGCCATTGGGTTGTCCGTTTCTCTTCAAATTACGAGTCCTGAATGTCCCCTTTTCATATTCCGCATCTTTAAAAAAATAGCTTTTACTTGCTAATGCCATGTTAAATAGATACATAAGACGTATATCTTGTTACTTTCATTGATGTTTTCAGTCTTCAATCTGCTTTGATACACCTTATCGCTAGTTACTCAATCCGGACAAGCTCTAAAATTACACGACTTTTTCATCCAGCTGAGGCTATCAAGGGCCCTGTTTAAACACTGCATTATGCATAAAAAATTTCAAAGAGAAATTTTTAAACAACCGTAAACACTTCAAATAATTATTTTAATTTGTGTTTTTAAAAAGTGGATCATAAACTATCAAAGTTTAAAAATGTTTGCTTTCTAACCTTTTTCCTTCAGAAGCTCGCTACTGATGACCTTTGTTTTTTCAAGACTTGACCCAAACAGGAAGTTGTATAAGTTACTGTTTTTTTCTGGATTGGACTAATTAGCAATAAAGTGTATTGAATGATATCGGTGCTTTTTTCAGGTAGTACTTGTGTCATATGCCTTCCTTCTGTTATTATATGAAGAATAATCATATGTATTGTATGATATCGGTGCTTTTTTCAGGTAGTACTTGTGTCCAATGCCTTCCTTCTGTTATTCATTCCCGCTGTATTGATATTCTTATGTTATGGATTGATTGTATTCCTATTATGTCAACGACTGAAAGGAGAAAAACACAGTGGGTTTAGAGAACAAGGTAAGACGTAATTATTTTTTCCCATTAAATTCATAGTTGTAATGATGCGTGATAGGAGCTGTCAAATATAAATGTCACGACAAATTAACTGCGAAATCCTAAAGTAGTGGTTGTGGTCTGTCTAATATCTTCCTGTATTCGGATTTTTTACACGCACATGATTTCTAAATAATGAATGTTCAATGTGCTTATCTTGATTAAGCTCTCCCAAACCCTTCCGAGACCAATATCCGGACATTCAAAGTGTAACAGAAAAACTCTTTTATTTACATTTAGTATGGTCTTCAGTCATAGATATACCTTTTCTATCCTGACGGACTCTAAAATAGCCAGTCAGATATTGGTATTTTTTTTACCAAACCATGATTCATCTTCATATAATTGCATTTCCATATTGCCAATACTGAGCAATAAAGATCTGAATCAGGTCATAATAATATTTCAGGCAGAAATATGTGAACGTTCTGTTTCTAGAAAATTTTATATCAGAAACTTTTTTTACTGTCCTTACAACAACAGTTTATTGCAATTGGTCAGACAGAGGCCAAATCAGAAGGGACAAAACTTAACTTAAAACATGCCAAACAGAAAAAGTTAACTTTTCTGTCAATCTTTTAGGCATTGGTTATAGGCAGTCCTTGCCTTCGACGATGACACATCCGTTGATAAGAGAAAAACCAGGTTTTCAGTACATACCACATGATTTGAACGTTAAACATGACGTAATCAACTTTCTAACTGCCAACCTTTTTAGAGAATGAAGTAATGAATGAAATTTATATTTATACACTTATTTTACATTTTCATATTTGAAAAATAAAATTAATAAGAATAATCTAGTGTTGCCTTTTAAAGTCCGTCAGTATATCTATACTAAAGTTTTTGTTGATACTTTCTTTTCCTTTAAAAGCTGTTTGACATGTTAAAAGTTAAAATAAAACACTCAAACTGATATTAAGTTTTACACATGATATAACTCCTGTCTACTACTATTGAAGACAGTATGTTTGAAAAGTAAGTTGAATTGATTAGCATACTGTAAATTCTGAAAGTATTGCAAGGTTTTTATTAACTCGAATAATCCAATAGAGTGTTCCAATAATAAGAACTCGCAGTCTGATATCTGATAGATATATATATATATATTTGTATGCGGTTTTTCATTGAATTGAACCAATAAATCTCGCATTTTTGTCCATTCTTCAAAAGTCGTAAAAATAAATACATGCAATAAATTCAAAATTACAGTAAATTTTTCGCGTATGATTATTCATTCTTTCATCAGTTCTGCTCTCTTTTCTCTTGAATTTGTTTAACAAATAAATATATCGTTCATTTAGTAGACACATATGAGCGTGAATGAACATCTATCCCATTGAACATGATATTATGGATTGAACAGATTCAGTTTAATCTATTTTATATATTGACTTACATTTAGTAATTGATAATGATGTGATAATCAACCTTGACGACAGATTATTTCGATATAACCATTGTAAACATTCCATTTCTGTGTAGCATTATTCCTGTAGCGCCGATGTATGGAGTATATATACAGGCTTGCAGTTCCTATTATAAAGCTTGCAGCTTACATGGAAGCTACTAATTTAAACCAATGATTTAAGTGGAAAAATTGGTTTTATCCCATATTATTATTATAATAATTTAAGGACGCTAATTATGGTTTTGAGGACCGTTATCGTTGTTATGGAATATCTTAGTCATCATATGTTCATATAGATATTTTGAAACTAAGGTTTCAATTTCCTCAGGCAAAGTTGACCTTAGATGGATTTGGCTATTTGTTTATGTTGTTTTTTTGTCATTTTGCTCTTAAACTGTTTCGGTTCTTATACATCATTGGCTTTTAAAATATTCGGTTTTGAGCGTTCCTACTGAAGGTTAATCCAGAAAAGCGCTTCGGACTCATGAAATTTATAACGTGTTGTTTCATTCTTTTCTAATCGTCGTAACTACAATACCGATCGTTTATCCGTGATTGTTACATCACCGAATAATTTTATTACCCATCCGCAAGACGACATATGCCACTTAGAAGCATTACCAAATATATAAGGGGTTTGTGCTTCTCAATTTATTTTTATAGTTATTTTTGGAGTGTTGTCTGAAGTTTGTGTTTTCTTTGTTTTATGTTTAACCATTGTTTTGTCGGTTATCATGGACTTGTGTAGCTTGATTGTCACTTTTCACCAGTCTGTTTAACAAGAACACTATATGCCGTATCGTACCAATAGAAAGAGTAAATGTGGTCCTCTATGCATTTGATTCGAGCGTCACTAATGAGTCTTTTGTAGACGAAAGTGAGTCTGGTGTACACATTTATAAGCCTGGTATCTTTGTTGATTTTTTTTTAACACCGAAGAACAGCGATGTATGAATATTTACCCTGCTTTGTACTAGGCCGACACGCAGAGCTGGAATTTTAACGTGCTAGTTCACAAGGTAACAGTCTGCAAGAAGACTCCTTAATGCCGCTTGCGTAGCAGAGAAGCAGCAAATACCAATTTTAAAGTCTTTCGTTTGACCCGGCCGAGGTTCGAACCAACGACCTCCCAAACTCGAGGCAAACACGCTACCACGAAACCACATAGGCGGTAGCTGCCCAAGAGCATCAACGTCAGGAAAAAGATGTTGTTATGCAGCAAACCCTTTTATTTCTGTAATACTGTTATAGCTTACTATGCGGCATTGGTTTTGTTTATTGTTGAAGTCGTTCGGTGACCTTTTATTTGGTGGAGAGTTGTATCATTGATAATCATTCCTAATCTTCTTATTATTATATAATAGTAAATGATGCAACAAAGATGATTGAGTTATTTAATGTAGCTGATACGTTTTTCTAGAGCTTGTGTTTTCAAATCTGATTTCCTTGATTGCTGCTACCAAGGAGGCAATAGAACCAAGGTTCATATTGATGTAGTTGAAGTAATCTCATCGGACGCGACCATCATATGTTTTCCGTTATAAAATATTTATGTTACAGATGACAAGAAATATGTAACTACATCACCGATATTTAACTTGCCGTGAAAAAGAGTACGGGTGCCCTTGTGTTCAGATTCTGCTAACCATTTTGGAACACTTTAGATCAGTCCCAGAATTTTATTGGATAATTGTTGTCCAGTACTTTGTTTTCTGTGTAATATTTTTGTAAACTGTTATTTGTATTTTCGTCGTGATATCAGTGTTCCATTTCAATATATATACTTTATATTTCAGATTTACTGAGATCAACACAAACATCAAAAACATTTACAAAGGCAAACAGGAGGAGCACTATTATTACATTTGTAGTTGGAATAAGTGAGTAAATTACACATGTTACATATAGTACAAATTATATATACTAACATGAGCAACACGATGGGTGCCAGATGTGGAGCAGGATCTGCTTACCCTTCCAGAATACCTGCGATCATCCTCATTTTTAGGTGGGGTTCGTGTTACTCAGTCTTTGGTTTTCTATGTTGTGTTTTGTGTACTGTTGTTGGTCTGTTTGTCTTTCTTTTTTAGCCATGGCGTTGTCAGTTTATTTTCGACACATGAGTTTGAATGTTTATTTGGTATCTTTCACCTCTTTTTTATTTATATCAACAAACAGACATTTCATTTAAGTAATATTTGGTTGTACATCATATAAGCATCCGTTATCTATGGGCATTGTTTGATTCTGCTGTGTATTGTCATTATGGGGCTTTTATTAACTGAGGCTTTAAATTGGTTTACAAAATGGAGAATATAGGGCCAATACTACAGAAAAATGGGGAAAAACCATATGTTAGAAACTATAAACTTAAGATAGGAATATAGAATAATGGGTTCTAAAGTATAAAAAATAGAGAACAATTGTAAAAAATTATGTAGAAAAGAACAAATGGCAAAAAAATAAATTAATTAAAGAACATCGAAATAGAGATCCTGATTCCATACCCTTCTTACAACCAGAACATGTAAAGGCGACGGTTTCATTTGATTACGATAGAAGTATTAATAGAGATTTCCAATCAAATGACAATACTCGACGTAACCAACCTATCTGACTGTATCTCGGCCTATTGCATTGAAGGATGACGGAGGGGAGCAAAGACTGCATGAATTTTGGCTCGTTGAATACACATACTTTGTTGGAATAGATGCTATTTAAAAACTAGCACAAACTATTATTTCAATTATTAAATTTCGGATGATTTCATTGACAACAACCTTTAAAGGGAATAATTAATTCAGTTACCGGTAATCAAATGCACAGATCATCACTTCGTCATTTCACTTGACCCATATATTTATTTCTCAAACGATGAATTCTTAAAATAATGGAATCTGAAGCGAGATCATATTTTCATTTTTGTTTTAAAAGTTATAAGATTAAAACAAAAGTTTCAAACACGCCGGAATATATAAGGTGTACACGACTTGCTTCTTCTTCTTTTTTTTTTTAGCATACTTCTATAATTTATTTCAAGATACTTTTGTCACAGGTAAAAAAATCAGATTACTGATGCATCTTTTTAATAGTACTTTGAAACCTTTCCATAGAATTTTATCAAATGGAATTTATGAGGACGCATTTTCAAGAAAAAATATGAATGCACTTTACTGAATCAGTTAATTTTATTTATATCTTGTCTTTAATTATAATGATGCATGGAGTCTAGGAAGAGCCCGTACAAACGTATGCGTAATTTAACGTCATTGCTCTTAAATTGTTTTTCTGAAATATTTGAAGTTTAACTTATACAAATACGCATGAAAAACGGACATGTACGGAATATTTGATTGAAGTTTTGTTAAGTAGGACGATCATTTTAGTTTTATGACCAACTTATGATAGTAAGGGGATATTATATTTACTGGTCTGTGCATCAGTTCGTTCTTCCGTTCTGTTCAAAATATAAAACGTATATACCAAATTAGAGTTTGACCTTGTGAAGTTGTGCACTAAACATGGCAATATAATCATGTGAAAGGCCACACATTCTTGTTGCAAATGTTTCGATTAATACACGTTCATGCATATGTATCTTCCATATTCATAACTGTATCTTTGGTCGCGCGCTCGCCTCAACAGTACTCGTCAAAGGTGATCGGGGAATAGAAATATGGTCAATATTGGTCTAGTTCCGATTGGCAGTTAAACCATTGCCAATGTGGGGAGACCGTTTGGTTGTGCAGGATGTACAAGTACGCAGTCCCGTATAGTTTTTTTTTAGAAATATTTGCCACTGGACGTTAAGCAACCAACTATCAATCAATCGACAGTAGCGTAACTTTAATTTTATTTCTGGTTAGGCAAATGATTTGTTTCTTGGCAGTCTAAGCCTCAACTTGGTTAAATGACATCAATGCCAATAGGGAGTGGACGGTTAATTGAAAATATGAATCGCAAAATAGGTGTAAGTGATCAGGCTCTTGATGGGTCACGCACTGGCAAAAAGATCCTGTCTATGAAAAAATCCAGATTTGTGGAATTCTGTCATGAAATAATATTTGTAGTGCGCATTAAATCAATATATTTCAATGAAACTGCTGGTTAAAGGTTTAATTCTCAGTATTGAGTTACAGATAGGTCCTGATCAAAACAAAAATAATTGACAGAATTATAAGTATGACCTCCTCTAAAGTGCTTTTGTACATATTTGGGGAAATTAAGTTTAAGATCCACTATTTCTTTGAACTTTATACGTTTAGCTTTTGTCAAAATGTATGGATGATAATAACTGGGTGAACTATTAAGTCTTGCTTATATCAACCAAGGTAAAAAAGTACTACATAAAATGTAGGAATGCCATGTGTCTGTTAAAAACTTTGTCCACCTAAAGTAACAAGTTCTGTAATTTGAAAATATTGTATATATACGAAAATTCCAGTGTGTGAATACTTTGTTGAAAACGACGTATTTAATCAAATTCAATGGTTGGCAATAACCAGTCCCATTAGGTCCGTACGTCGAGTTACGTACGTATGACATTTTATTGGAGTCTCTAGTACCACCTATGAGATATTGAAAACGTTAAATACAGTAATATTGTAACAGTGTGCACGAGTTAAATATACAAGTATATTTCACGTATGCAATAACATGAACATAAAACGTTTGCTACTTAAAATTACCACGGATGAAAGAGATAAATTCAAAAGTGGATGTTCAAGGCACTGTAAACAAGATATATAACATGCAAAATCTACTTAAAACGTACTTGAAACGTATGTACGATTGCGTAAGGACATAATGATTTTAACACAAAATTCATTGCCTTTTTTACATCAAGTAAATGCATGTTGTTTGTTATAGTTTCTCCGTTCGTTAAACAACAGTTTAAAGGTACGTCAAACTCGGAATCTCCAAACAGGTCATGTGTATATTTTGATAATCTGCTGTACAGATGATCATTGTTAACGCAACGCGTATATGTTTACCGTTCCAGCTCTAAATAGATATAAGATGAGGTATGAGTGCCAATGAGACAACTCTCCATCTAAGTCACAATTTGTAAAAAGTAAATCATTATAGGTCAAAGTACGGTCTAAGTCAGGAATGTAATAATAAAATAAAAGAGAGGCGGAAGATACTATATGGATACTAAAACTCACAAGTCTATGAAAAACTGACGACGCACTGGTAAAAAACCGATAGCGGCCAAAAGACAAACAACAGTATACATGGTATACACAACACTACATAATAAACTAAAGACTGAGCAACACGAAACCTACCATAAACCGGGGGTTGATCTTAGGTGCTCCACATGTGAGACCCTTCCTGTTACTCCTATAAAATATGCTGACAATCAATAGTTATCAATATTTTACTGTCTTTTGGTGAGACAAATATTTAGTTTTATTTTCTTTTGAAGAATATGACAATGAATGAGGCAACCGGTAGAAATGAATATAATGGTTTTTGTTCAAAAGTCAATAAAACATATATTTTCCGAAACAAAATACAATTTATGTTTGAATCATTAATCTGAGAAAAAATAAATTTAATGACAAAGACTGGCGTACAAAATTATAAGCATGATATCTTTGATGAAATTTTCGTATTAATGTATATAACGCAACATATTATATGTAAATGTATTTTTTATTGTAGCTTTTATCTTCTGCTGGATGCCATCCGTTTTGGCGGGATTATTAAACTTATACGGAACTATTGGTTACGGAGGATGGTTTGATATTCTGACTGCATTGTCTCCCTTGAACAGCGTTTTAAATCCAATTATATTTTTGTCATTTAATCACCGAATGTTTAAACCATCTGTGTCATATAAATACTCTCGGACAGTTGAGACTCGAGCATGACTATCGGAACATAGAAGTTATATAATTGGACAAGGTCACGAGATGTTGACATTGAGTATTAAAAGAGAGGCGAAAGATAAAACATGTTAAATATGTCAATATTGGACATGATATGTACACACGTATACGAATATCACAACAGAGAATTTATTTTACAGGACAAACGCACGAGGCGTTTAAATAAAACATCAAACACATCAATATTTGACCTGTCATGGACACGTGCGTGATCTGTATATCATACGATGACTTGATCGTCAAATAAGGAAAATTCCAAATCTATTTGTTTACATAACACTCATAAAACATCTTGGCTCATTCAAAATAGTTTATGTCTGAACATGCACGTGGCTTCTAAAAGTGTTCATATATCTATTTAAAACATAATATGCCTAATAATCATAAATCTAACGAAATTATATCGTAAGACGTAACAACACAGCGCTGTAAGCTGTGCGTGCTGACAAAAATGTGGGAGAAAACCTTCAGTAAGGTTATGGTGACGATAAGGTATCCGGACCGTAATTATGCACGTGATGACTTGAAAAGGTCAGGATCGTATATTTAAAACATCATGAACTCGGGAAAACACTGAAAAGTCTGCAAACGGTTGGTGACCGGAGTTTATAGCTACACTAATGAACAAAACAAATATTTTGACTGTGCAATATACACAGGAATTCCGTCTATAAAAACAATTATGTGTACATGATAAGGTTTCTGACCGATTTACTAGTTGTATAGACGAAAAAAAATATTACAGTCATTCCTTAAATATTAATGAAATATTGATCTAATTATCATACTGTTATATACTTCATCAAATGGTCAAATATTGATTTTTGAATTTCCAACTTTGCTGAATTCAATGAGGTCTCCCTATTGATAAAATACCTTTCATTTTTCACAACATATCACAAATCAGGTTAAGTTTAATTGTAAATTATATTTCAAAATAAATATTATTGATAACAATGTCATTCACTGCGGACCAACATCTTTGTCTAACATGCCTTATGCAAATACAGAAATATAGTTATAAGTGACGTTACTAACTGCTGGTTGGATTTTAAAACAGATCAAACTTAACTGTATGAAAAAACAAACTACCGAAACTGAACATACCGATCTTTAATTTTTACAGAAAAAATGCATGCACAACTTCAAATAACAAACACCTTCTTTTTCCAATAGATAATCAGGAACTGCTAACACATCGAAGCATTTGTTTTTTTCTACATAGTCTTAGTTTTTTTTTCCTTCAATCATGTATATTTTCTTCCTTAGAATATAACTTATTTGTCCCTGCTCAAGTAAATTATTTCAAGTATATTTGTTATGATATACGATTTCAATCAATGACATATACCGCAACAAGGAAGTCTTTAAGATATATTTAGGCAGACACTAATTTTGTTCTGTTTTCAGTAGACATGTGTGAATTATTGAGTTTTAGTGCCCACTTGATGTTCACCGATATGGAAAAAAAAACCCAAGAAAGCGCTTTTCTTAAAATGATAAATAGACCTATTACCTAAATCATCGCGAAAATAATTAGGAGGTAATCAAGACCAACAAGGAGCAACATGCACCCCATACAAAAAAAATGAAGTCAAATCCGCCGGGAGGGTACAAAATGATTTAACTCAAATGTCATTCTTCGGTTAGTACGTACTACCTAAAAGATTGTTGAATACAAAGATATACATATACGTAAAATCTGATACATTTGATACAATAAAAAATGATTTCCCTTGTTTTTTATAGCAACAGACAAGGTATTGACTAATTGTTAAGGAAAAAAAAAACACAATTTCATTAAATACTATAAAAGCAATCATTATATGAACAGATTTATTTCTGTTAACTTTTTTGCGGAAGATATTCATCAAGGTAATTACAACTTAGGGTTGATGACTAAAAACTAGTTTAAGCATGCCACATGTTTATTTCAAATTAGTGGCTACAGCGGTAATAAAAAAGGTTTGATATATCTTCAAAATTATAAAGATTGTAATTGGAGATTTCGGAGAAGATCTTGGAAATCTATAGAAATCCATATCTTATGAACACAACTTGTTGAATATTCCTCATCACAACATTTCTAGAGGCCAAATTTTACTGTATACAATATTGTAGTACGAACTTTCGAAAGCAAGGTGGTGATAACTTGAAAAGGTCAGGATCGTATATTTAAAACATCATGAACTCGGGAAAACACTGAAAAGTCTGCAAACGGTTGGTGACCGGAGTTTATAGCTACACTAATGAACAAAACAAATATTTTGACTGTGCAATATACACAGGAATTCCGTCTATAAAAACAATTATGTGTACATGATAAGGTTTCTGACCGATTTACTAGTTGTATAGACGAAAAAAAATATTACAGTCATTCCTTAAATATTAATGAAATATTGATCTAATTATCATACTGTTATAAACTTCATCAAATGGTCAAATATTGATTTTTGAATTTCCAACTTTGCTGAATTCAATGAGGTCTCCCTATTGATAAAATACATTTCATTTTTCACAACATATCACAAATCAGGTTAAGTTTAATTGTAAATTATATTTCAAAATAAATATTATTGATAACAATGTCATTCACTGCGGACCAACATCTTTGTCTAACATGCCTCATGCAAATACAGAAATATAGTTATAAGTGACGTTACTAACTGCTGGTTGGATTTTAAAAGAGATCAAACTTAACTGTAGGAAAAAAATAAACTACCGAAACTGAACATACCGATCTTTAATTTTTACAGAAAAAATGCATGCACAACTTCAAATAACAAACACCTTCTTTTTCCAATAGATAATCAGGAACTGCTAACACATCGAAGCATTTGTTTTTTTCTACATATTGTTTTTGCTTGCCTTAGTTTTTTTTCCTTCAATCATGTATATTTTCTTCCTTAGAATATAACTTATTTGTCCCTGCTTAAGTAAATTATTTCAAGTATATTTGTTATGATATACGATTTCAATCAATGACATATACCGCAACAAGGAAGTCTTTAAGATATATTTAGGCAGACACTAATTTTGTTCTGTTTTCAGTAGACATGTGTGAATTATTGAGTTTTAGTGCCCACTTGATGTTCACCAATCTGGAAAAAAAAACCAAAAAAAAAAAAAACCAAGAAAGCGCTTTTCTGTAAATGATAAATAGACCTATTACCTAAATCATCGCGAAAATAATTAGGAGGTAATCAAGACCAACAAGGAGCAACATGCACCCCATACAAACAAAAAATGAAGTCAAATCTGCCGAGAGGGTACAAAATGATTTAACTCAAATGTCATTCTTCGGTTAGTACGTACTACCTAAAAGATTGTTGAAAACAAAGATATACATATACGTAAAATCTGATACATTTGATACAATAAAAAATGATTTCCCTTGTTTTTAATTGCAACAGACAAGGTATGGACTAACTGTTAAAGAAAAAAAAAAACACTATTTCATTTAATACTATAAAAGCAATCATTATATGAACAGATTTATTTCTGTTAACTTTTTTGCGGAAGATATTCATCAAGGTAATTACAACTTAGGGTTGATGACTAAAAACTAGTTTAAGCATGTCACATGTTTATTTCAAATTAGTGGCTACAGTGGTAATAAATAAGGTTTGATATATCTTCAAAATTATAAAGATTGTAATTGGAGATTTCGGAGAAGATCTTTGGAATCTATAGAAATCCATATCTTATGAACACAACTTGTTGAATATTCCTCATCACAACATTTCTAGAGGCCAAATTTTACTGTATACAATATTGTAGTACGAACTTTCGAAAGCAAGGTGGTGATAACAGATTGTCCACAGTCTTTGATAAATTCATTCATAAATTTCCTAAACTATTGACCTTTTGTTGACAAAAATTCAAAGTATAGCATAGACCCTTATTTTACAAAAGACACAAATCAATAAAAAAATTGAACAAGATTTATTATACACAAGTTTGTAAGAAGTATTTAAAAAATAGAAATGTCAACTAAACTGTCAAAATATATGTCCGATCTTTTGTCTTTTCTTTATCCGAAATTCCTCTCGGGAATCCTAACAGAATACTACGTCCAACAGGTTACAATCTAGTATGATGTTGTTCGTAAATAAAAGTGTCAATCCAATTTAGAGAACTTCTGAGAATAGTTATGTCTATTGATGTCTATGTCTGAAAGTGTAACTTTGTGTCTGTTATATATAGTTGTCACGGAAATCTCTAGAACACTTTAGAAGGGAAACTCCTAGAAAACTTTGGAACGGAAACTTCTAGAACAATTTCAGAAGTTTAAATTACGCATCTTTTATTATGATCATTCTGGAATCGTTATGTAAGTAAAATAGAAAGTTCTAATCATTTCGTGATTGTTCTAGTGATTTCTAAACTGCACAGTTACAATATTATTTTGTAAACAACTGTAAGGCCACACAAATCAAATTAGGCCAAGATAAATAAATATAATAACTACAATATCATAACACCCCCCCCCCAAAAAAAGTTTGAGTGTAACAAGAACTTTTCATGAACAATATAGTCAAAAATACATAGTATGTATACAGTATTTTAATAAGATCTAGATAAAGCATCAGCTATAACATTATTCTTACCTTTAGTATGTTTTACAATAACAGCAACCTCTGGTTCTTGTTTCTCAGTTTATGTATGAAGGTGAGAGGATTATGATCAGTATAAACAAGAATAGGTGGGATTTTGATATCAAAATGTAAGCGTAAAGACAACAGTGCAAAACACACTTTTTCAATACTTGAATAATTTTTTCTGATGTTTATCTAATTTCTTAGAAAAATATGAAATAGGTTTCTCAACATTATTATCTGTCTCTTGATATAAAACAGCTCCAACTTCTACATCACTTGCATCCACGGCAAGTTTGAATTGTTTTTCAAAGTCTGGAGTGATCAGAATTGGACTGTTAATTAAAAGTGATTTGCTGTTTTCAAAAGCGTTTTGACAATTATCACTCCAGATAAAGTCTAAAAAGCTCCAGTGTTCCGTACAATCTTAATAGGCTGAGGAGTAGTATTATCAACAATAGAAACATACCCATCAGACATAAAGGGTTTATAATCCTCCATGTAATCATAAAAACTGGACTCAAAAGCCTGACTCGCAGGACATTTCAACGTATTGGGAACAAGGGGTGTCGTACAAGCACTGGTATTGGGCTTATTATCTCTTTCAGTCTTCTTCTGGAGTCTAAAACAATCAGCCATCAGGTGACCATTCTTCTTACAATAAGCACAAGTCAGTGACTTTCTCTCAAAAGTATCAAATTTTGGACTAGACATATTATAACTAGACTGACTCTTATTTTGTGCAACAGGCTTACTATCAGTAAGCTCAGTACATTGATTCTTGGAATTTCCACTCGAAGTATTAACATTTTGACAGTTGAAACTTCTTTAATGTGAAAGGGTATAATTATCGGAAATAACAGCAGCATCTTGTAATGTCTCAACAGTTTTGTCATCTAAATGTGTTTTTAAGTCTAAATGAACACACTGCTTGAACTCTTCTAATAACATCAATTGTCTTAAGTTATCAAAATATCTTTTTCTTTTATCTTCCCCATCTGTAAGCTTTCCTTCATTTTAAGCTCTGCCTGTCTTTCTTCTGTTTTGTTTTCTAATTGTTTTTATTCAACTTCGTTTTCCAATTGTTTTCTCTAATTGTTTTAATTTAAATCCATCTCCCTTTCCTAATTTAAGTTGTTTTAATATAAGTTCATGTTCTAATTCAAGCTGTTTTATTTTAAAAGCATCAACATTTTCGACCTTGAGTTCAAGAGCCTCTTCACATAAGATATCTGAGTCAACTGAATTGTCTTTTAACAAATTTTTAATGATTTGTTTTCTCATAGATCCTCTAAAATTAATTTTTAGATGTTTAGAAAAGCAACACGTATTCTTCTTTCTTTAAATTATCAAACCCTTC